AACGCAACATTAATTTTTAATATTTTGTTTATTAAAAAAATAAACTGTACGTTGAATTTTTTTGTTTTAATAGCTATAGTCATTTATAATAGCTCTCCTACTGCACTTTATCTTTTTTAATTATTAACTATTTACCACATTTCGAATACTTTTACAATTATTCTCATTATTTACCTTTTATATTATGTTTTTATAGTTATACAGATTTATTTGAGAGTTTTCTATAAATATTATGATTCGGAAACTCAAGCGACGTACCTTGTGTTATGGATGAAACGCTGCTCCCAGGAGTATTTTGGCCATACCCTGAAAATACAGGTGACATATTTGGATTGAGGATTGGAGAATTACTTCCAGAAAACATGGAGAAATTCGAGGCTTGACTGAAGATGGTCTGGTTGATGGGCAAATTCAAGTTGCTATTGTGGGTTGTAGTGTAAGGAGAGGAATGCAAAGGACTACGGTTTATGGAATCAAAAGAATATGTTGGACTACGATTGGTGGACTCATAAGGACCAAAGCTGAGTTGTTGGTAGTTTTCAGGAGGCAATCCCAATGTAGGATCCCGCGAAGATGTAAAATTTTGCAACTCCTGTATGGTGAATGCATCTGGCATTGTTTGATAAAACTGGTGGATTGGGGATGTGCATTCTGATATGTGATGTCGCAGTGGTTGGTGAATCGGAGATCCTAAAAACATTTTCATTTTGTATACATTTATAGCATACATTAAAAATTACGCAGTATAGAAGATATTAGACATGAATTTATCTCCTTAAACAACTATTTTCTAACAAATTTTGCCGTGAAGTCAAGTAAATTTACTATGTATTATATATCCAAACAGAAAAATCGACATTTTCATCAATAACTCATAAACAGAAAATAAATATTATCAAGAGATATAGTTTTTACTCCATTCATCGAGCTGAACAGAAAATATGTGATAATGAAGAAAAGAGAAATGAAACTTTCTATGTTTTTTACCACTTTTATTTGTAACTAACGTTTCCTCAGTTTCATCCTATACGGACATTTTCAAACTTATACGTCCGTATAGGACGAAACTGCAGTAACGTTAGTTACAAATAAAAGTGGTAAAAAACATAGAAAGTTTCATTTCTCTTTTCTTCATTATGATTTCCTACCACGTAGTAACGGCTACATCCATCAATAAATATTTGATACATTTTCCGAAATTGTCAATAGTTCAAGACATATATCTGTCTGTCATTCTTAAGATAAGCATATTCAGAAAGCTATAGATCGATTAATTCGAAATTTTTGTTTGTTGAAATAGTCATGATCGAATGGAACCTGAAATAACAAACGTATCGTCTGCTAATGTGGGGAACATCATCAGTGGTATGTGTGTTGAGTGTGATCATCACCATGACTAATTTTTTTTTGGAATATAATTTAATAAACGATTGAGGTTATATCTCATTCTAATCAATGGTAATTAACTATGAAAAATTTACTATTCATTTCATGTTTGGAGCATACATATGAATATTTATTCATTTTTCGCACTGTTAAATCTACTCTCTTCGAAGCATGTATCCATTTCTTACATCTAACCTCATTATTATGAGGTTTTATAAATGGTATAAAAAAACACGTTTTCTTCCGGATATCGATTATCCGACGTACAACTCGCAAAACAGCAATGCTTTGTTGGCATTATATTAGCACAAAATAATGTTTGTGCTAGTATAATGTGCAGATTTGTACAATCAAATAATAAATTAATATTACGTCAATAACACTGTTTTACATGTGAATAGTTTATTGTTTGTCCCTACTACTAGTGCTGCCTCTCGTGACACGTTTGCTCAGGAAAAAGGCTTGTTGCAAATTAAAAAATCAACTCTAAAATTTTCTTCTACAGAGAAAAGTTGCAACTAAAAACAGTTTCTTTAGTCTCAATGTGTCTATTCTCTAAGAAAAGTCGATAGATTTTGAAATGATTAGTTTGAGAATTGTTTACGAAGAATCAAGTCATTATTGAATAAAAAAAATATGATAAAAATGATCGATACTTGATGATGGTCCATTGCAAAGTATTCAAAAAACATACTTCAGTCTGAGATTTCCACTTGAAAATTAACATAATCGCGACACGTGTTTCGCTATACAAAATCATCTTCGGGCGTCACAATGCATTGTGGAAGTCTCACATTAATGTGTTTTTTGAATAAATCAAAAAAATATCGAATGTCTCGAAAAGGTCGGGAAATACTAAAAATCATCTAGTGACAGTTTTGTTGTATAGTTTCGCAAAAAAAGTTATTTTTATTTTTACAATAAGTCAATAGTTCAGGAATCATTTGAAGAAAACCAGAAAACCGATCAATGAAACAAATATTTTCTTATCTTGGCATTATAGTCGGTTGTACTATTCACAGTATTGGTATGAAATTTCAGTTTGGAAATATTATGTTCATAAATTAATTTGAAACTACTATCCGGTTTTACTCCTAGAATTCACTTAATTGGTAACCGATAAAAGTTTGAAACATATACTAATCAGTATCTTTTTTTGCATGTTGAACGTGATTCGGATTTTCGGAATTTATAGAAAACTTACCTGGTATTGATCTAGGAGGGAAACATATACTATTCAGTATCTTTTTTTGCATGTCGAACGTGATTCGGATTTTCGGAATTTATAGAAAACTTACCTGGTATTGATCTAGGAGGGCTATTTCTTGAGGAAATTCCTCTTTGCACCCTTTGACATTCCTGGTGTGACATACTGGTATTCAAAGTACGGCAACCGCTTGCTGAACCTTCACTACCTCTACGAACGGGCGAAAATCTTTCAGATTTCTGTTCTCGACCTATTAAGAACCAAAGTCTTGTTACATATTTTGCATGGAACTCAATAAAAATATCAATTTGAGAATTTTTGTTGTGTGACTTTCTTTTCAGCTTAAAATATTTTGTTTTCTTTGCCAATGAGTGTTCCTTCATTTTTATTTTCTATTTTTATTTTTAAACTCTTCTAACAAACTAAGTGTTAGCAATTGAAATCAAGATAATGACAAGTTCTGATGTACCCAACATCAAGACTTGAAAGCTAATTTTCGGATTCAATGTTAGATAGGTAGATAGATACATTTATTTCAACAGAGTATTTTATAATCATTCACAGGAGTGGCAGAATATTTCTGCCTGAGAAATACGTCAAACGGAAAATTGTAAAAATATCAATATGTGTACATATAAAACTAAAAATGAAACATTCAAAATGAATAGCTTCCAGTTTCAAATACGATCACAAACATTTTAAAATGTGCTTCATATTGGGCATGTTTGTTGAAAGTAGAGTAGAAAGTAGAAAATATTTCATTAGTATTATATGGATTTTCAATTTCAATGTATTACTTTCTTTGATTTAAAATATTGAAGACCAGCTTTCCAATTCAAGCAAAATTTCTACATTTCATCTACGACCTACCTTGTTGTTCCTGGACGGTTGGCAAGTGTGGTTTGACAGTTTGTCTCGAGTGTTTTCGAGGTGGCAAAATTGTAGGCATATAGTTGCGATTCATGCGTGCTTCTACTTCCCTCACGACTTCGGGCGGGATTACTAACAAAATAGGCATGCAAAATTATAAATAAAAAATAAAACAACACAACTAGCTATGTACAAAAAAATGCAAAAAAAAATTACAAGTATGTGCTTATGAAGTATTTAAGCCACTTCGTTACACAAAGAAATGCATTAAACATGTAACAATGAAACACTGAAAGGCCAAATGAATCAATAGTCATATAAATCACCTAATTTCAAATGAAATACATTACCTGGCCGTTCGGTCACTGTCAAGAGACCTGTTCGTCTCACTCGCGCTCCTGTTGAAGATGTCGACTGCAATGAATGAACATCCTCGGGACTGGCCATTGTATGTCTTTTAGAGTTGCCTCTACCTTGCATGTACCTTGAAATTCATCCAAAATAAAAAGTTACATCATACACATCGACAAATAAATGGAAAACTCATTCTGAATCTGTGAGAGGTTTTAGATCAAAATAAGATGTCAGTTGATGATAGTGCTAACCTGGCAACTGCCAATTCCTCCAATGCATGCTGGTTGTGCTCCAATGGTTGTGTACTCGTACCGCTACTGCTGAGGCTAGGATTTCCACTAGAACTATTAGACATCATTGATAATTGTTCATGTGATCCAGGTGTGCCCCAAGCCATGTGCAAATTAGCTCCACCATCTAGAACAAAGTAAATGAATATATTTCAATATCCACTCAATTAAACAGGTTAAAAGATTAGTCCACGTTTCAACCTACCAATTTCTTTCCCCAATTTTAGCAACTTTCCCAGTAGAATAAAGTAACTATATCAAATATGAATGAAAATAAAAACTTATTGAGTTCAACAGTGCATCCAGAGGAGCAACTTGGGGTCATCTTAAGCATACTATTATGAAAACAACTTAAACTAAGTTAAACACTTCATAAGAAGTGCCTAATTTTTGCTTCTACACCTTTGTTCTTAGTATAAAGTGTAATAAATCATATGTTTTGAAAACCCATCATTTCACCAAGATTCTTCATGATATAACTTGAGAATATGGTAGAGGTAGATAATTTTATATTTTACTATTCTACGTTATTTGCACACGTCCGATTGCTTTATATTTATTATTTAATGTAGGTAGCTGAATCACATGAATTATAATTGGAATAGATGAAGAAGTTTTTTTCTTTTGCTGCTTGGGTGTTGTTTGACTTGCACATTTTCTACTGATCTTCGTCTAATAGGTTAACTGCGTATATTCCAATAATCGTATCTAATATATAAAAATGAATTGCTGTTCGTTATTCTCGATAAAACTCGAGAACGGCTGGACAGATACGACTAATTTTGATTTTGAATTATTTGTGGAAGTCAAGGGAAGATTGGGAAGGTTTGAGAGGTGAGTAAATATTAAAAAAAATAATAGAAATAGGATAATGAGTATTGAAATATGATAATTTATCAATAAAAATAATGATAATGATAATAAAAGTACTGAAGAACGGTTGGACCAATTCTTATGATTTGTCTTCGTTGGGAATAGAATAATAAGTATTGAAATATGATAATTTATCAATAAAAATAATGATAATGATAATAAAAGTACTGAAGAACGGTTGGACCAATTCTTATGATTTGTCTTCGTCGGGAATAGAATAATAAGTATTGAAATATGATAATTTATCAATGAATATAATAATAATGATAATAAAGGAACTTAAGAATAAGTTATTTACTTTTTTACACATATGGCAACCCACACATTGTCTATGTTTGAGAAATGAAAAATGCATATAACAATATTTACGTAAGCATAGGAGGAGGATAAGAGCTATGCTTACCTTTGCTGACAAGGGGGGTGGAGGGTAAATAATTGTAATGAATATGCTTACGGCCCCTTAGTACAAACAGTTCCTTTATCTAAACAAGATACATTTTGAAAAACGTTTCCAATTTCGCATGAATTGGAATGTTGTGGATATAATGTTATAGGTACCCCAGCTTGTTCTCCTGTCAATACTGTCATGGCCCACCTGAATGCTGACTAGCTAACACCCAAATTATTGAGAGTTTTCTCAAAAGAGTTTTTTCCACTGAAACTTAGACAACAGTTTAAACTTAAGGTTTATGGTCATGAATTCGTTTAAAGAAACAAGAATTTTATCCAATGACGCCCAGCATATAATGTTGGTATGGACGTGAAAAAACAAAAATTTCTGAATGTTCATGTTCAAAATGACAAATATAGAACAGAATCTATTTTCGTGAATAAATTAATGAATTTATTGCTAAATGTAAAACAGGAAATTCAATGACAATGGGGAATGTTCCTCAATTTGGGTTATTACAGCAAATGCAAGATTGAACAAAATAAAGTTGAGTTCAATCCATTAGTTTTTCAAATTCACTTCAAAAAGTATTCAAATTGATGTTTCAAATGTTGGGTTTTAATTTTTAAAGGGATTTGTTTCTAATTCACATATTGGCAACAGCGCCTAGAAGGCTAGATCTGAGTTCAGGTTAGTAGTATGCTAGAAAAAGAAGAATCATGTCAATTGTGTCAAATTAAGGCAAAATATAAATTGTAGTTCAATACCACCTCCAGAAGCCACATAAACAACAGTTGTTTTGTTATTTATTTATATAGAGGAAGATAGGTTAGGTACACAAAATGTCATATGTCACATAATGTCTCGGAACATAAGTAAACAGAACAGCACGCCTCTGAAATATGTCATCTTTGTTTGTCTGATACAGGTAACAGATTCATTGTCCTTTATTAACTAAAACCGATGTTGCCAAATGGTGAAATAGAAACGAATCCCTTTAAAGGTTGAATGCATTATTTCGTTCCTCTTTTTTAAGTATTTAAATAATTTTTTAAAGAAAAAGGTTGAAATGATAAGTTTAAAATGCGTTGTTTTAGAGCCCTTTTATGAAAACTACTTGATTTTCCTCAGGAGGAACATTACCCATTGCGGCCGTAAAGGTATTCACGAATTTATTCTACAATAAATTAATAGATGTAATACTGCTTTCACAAACTTGATATACTATTTCAGGCAATACAGCAAACTAACCTGAAGCTCGCCTTCCAAATCCACCAGCAGCGCTCAGAACTACAGGAGGTTTCAACAAATGCGGATCTTTTCCACCAAAATTATGAGGATTCTGTTGGGCCAGAGTTGAAAGCTGAAGTGGAAGGTTAGTGTGGGGTAGTAGCTTATTTCCTTTCTGGTCTTGTTGGGAATGAGGAATGTAGTGGTTTTCAAGAACCTAAAAAATGTTTGCAGTTTAGTTCACATACTATACAATTACATTTATATCAGGTTACAAAACATATCGAAAATATTTTGAGTTAAATCAGTTCACATATAAAACATGATTAATAATCTGTGCAATTTTGTCCAGCCTTGATATCTTATTCCGTTCATAAGTTGAGAGGAGGGGACTATTTACGTCCGCACTGTATAAAAAAGTTAGCGATAATAAGTTTTGTCGACTTTTCGCTATCATCTCAAATGGCATTATCAAGACTGAAGCTGCTGGATTCTATCCAAAAAAGAGCCACCTGATTGAAGACGCGAACATCATTTGTAACCTTGATAGTCTGGAACATCAAAGAAACGTTGGAGATTTGTCTCTCTTCTATAGATACTTTCACGGGAAGTGTTCAAGTGACTTGGCACAATTGATTTCACCAAGAGCAGTACATATCAGAAATACGCGATGGACTGTGGCCACTCATCGTTTTGAGGTTCAACTCAGTACACCTCGGACTTCACTGTTTTAGAACTCCATCATCTGGAGATCTGCGTTTATGTGGAATAAACTTCCTGAGAATATTTTTCCAAATGGATTCAATCTCCAGCGATTCAAATTCAATGTGAATCACTACTTTCGCACAGGCACCGCTCTTAGAGCGCCTTGATGATTTTGCTGTAGTGCTTGTGTTTTGTCCTTAAAAAAATACGGCTAATTTTTTTATACAATGATTCTTATCTACATGGTTGAACACAATACACATACATTCATTTCCGTGAACAATTTTTTTCTCATACACATTACACACTTTGTGTACCTGTGATAACTAACTTTGTTGCTGTTTGAATATTTTCTCAAGAACAATTTACAAAGAAATTAGGGATCCTATGTATAAAAATGGTGGACTCTATTCAAAAGTGTTTTTTAGTCAAGGTACGGAAATAATCGGAAGAGTAGTCAAATTCGTCTCTATCTACATTCAGTGGGTGGGCTTCTAACACAGTATGATTTTCCAGGACGATCAGACCAATATCAAACAGATGGTTCTGGACTAACTTCACAGGACCTTAAGCTCAACATGCTTCAGAGGCACCTGCAAACAACTGAAATCATCAACCTAGAGGGTCGCCGGTTCAGTTGGAGCCAATTCTGTGCCAGAGTGTGTGTGTTTGAACTTTGTGTGTGATTGTGTGTGAGTATGTGTTTTTCAACTAAATGCTACATCAGTTGCTCTTTTCAAGAAGAGGAAAGCAGGGGCTGAGTAAAAAAAATCATAAATTGAGTTATATACATTATATTGTAGTTTTCAGCTGACTTAACCCCTCCTCAAACAGTTTGAGGAGTAGGATGTCACGCAGGTAGCTATAGCTGCCTTCGTGGTGATTTTGATAGTTTTCTTGTAAACACAAGATCTATCAACTGAAACCACAAATGTTCGGTTGGCTTAAAACAAATAACGATTTTTAGTAAATTTTAATTCAATATTCTTCTGTGTATCCAGTGAGGTGTCACCCTCTTTTAATTTAATGACTTGTTTATTGTAATTGACATGTTTCAATTGTTTAAATGTAACAAGTTTTGTTACATTTAAACAACAAAATGAAGAAATAAATGAAGAAATGAAATAAAATTAATAGGAATAGTATGAACACAGCACAAATTTATTTTGAATTATTTCCAGAAAGACAACAGTCGGATAGAAAATTATTTGATATTTTGGTCAAACACTTGGCTGAGTATGGTGCATTTTAAAAACCAAGAATGAAATCATGAGCTAGTTAAAAATATACAAAAAGTATTACAAAAAGTATTCGAAATGATGGTTTTCCTCTTGAATACATAAGCGAGCTCCTAGTTTCAAATTAATAATAGCCCTAACAATATCCCTTCTTGTGATAGGCCTAAATTGCTTAATGATTTTTCTTCCAAGTTCACCCACTGTGTCATATTCTTGCTCTCCATTGATTATGTTCTTCAAAGTGCCCCACAAGAAAGTATCCAAAACTGTTATAATCAACAAGGGAAAACGTATCTATATATTTTTCAAATTCTTTTCTTAAGAACAGAAGATAGTTTTCCCTGTTTAAAGTATTCGAGAAGAAATGAGGTACAGGTATTTGGTCGTTATAATTTTCAGCCCACACATTCAAACGAAATCTAACTTGTGGTCTGACTTCTCTGAAGTGTCGTGGATTACTTTCACTCCAAATGTGCTCATTATTTCTATTAAAACACCACAGTTCGAAAAAATACTTTCGTCGGTTCAAATAATGTTTCTCAAGAAGTTTGTAGGGTCTACCCTATTTGAGAGGCAGCTACAAAATTCCATCCTTCTCTCAGGATCACCTGGATGTAATTTTCATGAAATAAGTATCTTATAACATATTAAACCCCTTTTTTGAATTTCCTCCAAACGCTCGTCTGTGGCACATCCATTTCTGCTGAGACTTAATGTGGTGATTTGGAAGGATCTGCATTTATATAAAAAATTACCAAAAATAATTATACTTCTTCGAATATGGAAAGAACTCTAGTATTTTGTTCCATTCTGCTTCCATACTTCATTCTTGGTTTTTGAAAGGCAATGTACTCATCCAAGTGTTTGTCCAAAATTGCGAACAGATTCAGATTTATTCAGACTAAAGTGTACAAATAATGATACACATCGATGATTATTATAAAGTTTCTGTTGGATGACGAGACTGCACCCAAGCATTTTGTATGCTTGAGTCGTGCTTGTCTGCAACCCTCTAGAAACATTGTAATTGTACAGTATTGAATAATGAAAGTGTATAACTACTCAGTATATTATTCAATTGAAGGGAGAGTTAGACCTTATTGAAAAATGATATAGTTTCAGGAATGTAGGATTATGGAATACCGAGAATACATCAATTAATTTATTATTTTATAAATTTATTTTGGATTTTTCAGAATGACAAGTTTTGTTTGTTGTTTGTACTTATGGAAATTGGTTGTTATCTTCAGTTCATGAGGTAGAAGATTATGCAGTTTGTTCCCAAAAGAGAAAATGGTTCATTTTGTGTGGCTCTTTTTGTACATTGGTATGTATATATACTGTGAGATTATCCAGTGATCTGGTATTATTTACAACTTCCATGGGGCGATTGAAACGATTTAGGTTATGAAACATCCATTCTAAGCATTGGTAGGCATACAAGATTCTAATATCAAGTATCTGCGACTGCTCATATAGTTGTGCAGTTGAATGAAGTTTTCGTTTTTTGAATATTATTTTCAGGATTTTATTTTGCATTGATTGGAGTTTTGTTAAATTATTGCGAAATAAACCTCCCCATGCTTTTATACAATACCGTAATATGGATTCAGCTAATGAATAGTAAATTACTCTTAGTGTTTTATCATTCAGAAATTCTCTCAATTCATACATTTTTCTAGTTAGCTGTCCGAGTCTGTTAGTCAAATTTGCAACATGATTCCACTTCTTCGATTGACGACTTGTTTATTTTGTGGAAATTCATGTTCACTGAGGATACACTACAAAAACACACTTTTGTCTATTTTCCACTATATTTCTTTATTGTTGACGGGTTTCGGCTATTACACCATTTTCAAAACTAACTGATTACATTTAAATCTGAGTAATTTATACCTAAATATTTATGATAGATCATTTATGATAGAATAAGCAACATAGGTATTAATTACTCAGATTTAAATGTAATCAGTTAGTTAATCATAAATGATCATTTATGATAGAATAAACAACATAGGTTTTTCCGTTTTTCCCACAACAATGTTCTATGCAGCTATTATCTTCCCGGAAATAATTCAAAATAAATATGTGCTGTTTTCGTACTTTTCCTATCAATTTTATAATGAAGTTTCAATATATCCAGTTTTTTTTCATTTGAGAATGAGTACATTTTGATTGAAATATTTGTGCAAACTTATGATGTTTGATTAGTTCCGACAACTAGTGTTTATTAAACAAAATTTTTTGATGGAGTCATGACCATCTCAGATGAAGTTGTTTTTATTTTGATACCTGTGGTTTCAGAAGACCAAATCATAACAAATTAAGCATTGATGAAATCAGAATGAGGAGCCATATTTTTCTGTGTAAAAAAACATATGGCACCCATAATAAAAAAGTTCATTTTAATCATAATAACTTTTCTTTTTTTTAATATATTAGGATGTCTGTTTTAATAAATGTTTATATTATTATATGTTGAAAACTAGTAGTACGTACTGCAAAATTGATGACTCTTGATTACCTGTTCGTGAGCAGGATCACCTGGTCCAACTGTGTGTCTTCTGACAGTCAAATATTTTTCACCAGAAGATGAACAGCTGCTGTAGCCAGTAGAAGTGGAAGGAACTGACATAGAGCAAGGTTCATCATTCGCATCTAAATCCATTTCTCCATACTGAAAAAAATTAAAAAATAAAAAGGTAAATTATTTAGTGACATCCTACTTTTTCCAGAGGTTGATTTCCACCTTCTCCCTCTAAATAAACAGCTGGAATAGCAGGCATAGACACAAACGGAGAACCAGCATCTTCTGAAACACCCTCGTGTGAAGATTTCAACCTTTCATTGGTCGCGTCTCTCACTCCTCTTAAATAATTTTCATTGAAGCTTTCTCTCCTGTGGTTAAACGGCTCTTCAGCTTCTTGCGTTACATTATGATTTCCCGAATCCATAGTTAACTGAGTTACGAGTCTATTGTCATTGAATGATTCACTCCTTTCATTGATTTTCTGGCCCTTTCCAAATGGCTCTACTGAAAGTAAACAGACGTTACAATTTCAGTAAAATGTATTATGAATTCACTCTGGAATTTTGGGAAACATTCCCTTTGATCTGTACAAGATTTTGTTTTGATAATAACACATTGTTTGTCATTTTGATTTTAGTAGAAACGAAAAATGTACATGTACTTAGTAATAAAGTCAAAATCCACCCCTAACAACTAAATTTGAATTAGTTATGATGTGAGTGAGCGAGTAAAGGATAAAAACTTACTTTAGAAGATACTAATTTTCTCCTTTTCAAAATTTATTGAATCATTTATTCACTCAATGATAAAAATGTCCAAATATATTACAAACATTTTGTAATGGATTTTTAAACTTCTGATCTCAGCTGGGCAGTTGAGAAGATAAGCCACTAGTGTTTACTTTATTCTAGATTTACTGAATATTTTATTCAATGTATAAAACCAAGACCCATTAATTTCCAACCAATAAAGATTTTGACCAAATGTCTTCAAAACATTTTATAACATATAAGATTTCTAGCTTCTGCATAAAGACTGTCAATAGATTCAAGAGGTTAAACTTGTGCGAGCTTGAGATTAGCGAGGTATCATCTTTTAATGTATGATTTATAGTACAGGGGACTGATGGACTAACCCACCTATCACAATGATTGGTATTGGTGCAATTTGTATTGAACATTGGTCTAGAGCAAGACAAGCACAGGTTATACATTAAATCTGCAGTCAAACTGATAAATAAAACCCTCGTTGTCAGCAGCCGAATCTGAACAAATGGCCGATGAAGTACATATTCAATGGCTTGGCCATAAAAAATGTTCTTCACTGAGCTCGCTGGTGGAATAAGGAAAGTCCTTTCACATATTCAATGATTCTCAAACGTATGAAGAAATTCGATCTTGATGGAAGTAATTGTTATTATGATTGGTTTCATAGGATTTTCACAAAAATTTGAAACAGATCTTTTTTGGGAAAGTTTCATATAAGGTAGTAATAAAAATTATTTCCGAGTGACTAATAAAAAAAGAAGCATGTTTCTTCTCACAATTACTAATAAAAACTATTTGACTCAATAGATACTGTATTTCATCTTGGTAACAGTCGATGAGCTCATTTTCTCTTTTTTAGATAACCCAATTGAATTTTGTATGGGATTATTCAAAAACTTTCAAAATCCTTATAATACAGGAATAGAACGTTAAACATGACTTGAGCTGATAAACAAATGAACCCAAATTATTGGAAATATGACGTAAATTATTTAAATTTTGTATATTAAATAGCAAATAATAGTCAGTTCATGCAAAATTCTAGATGAACATAATAAAAAAACAATAAGTAACTTCAATCTGTTAAAACAATAAACGAACTTTTTGATAATTTTACAGAAAAATATAAATATGACGAGCTGTCTCGGCCTGCAGTTTTAAGGTTTCAGTTGTACAGTTCCTGTGATCATTCTGAGCCGAGCCCTGCTTTGTTGGAGCAGCTCTTTAGTTCTCTTCTCACACGGTCCCTTTTTTAAAGGTTTTTCTCTGTGTGTTTCCTGGTACGATTTTCCAGTACATTATTTGTTTTTTAAAGACCTATTCCAATACGAAGGAATAATGTAGATAACAAAACTTATGACTTATAAGTTAGACTAATAGACACTACATTCAAGTGAAAGAAATAATAAATACCTCCCCTTGCAAGTTCCTCAGATCTAAGTCTACTATCTTCCCTCCTATGGTGCAATACCTTCGATTGGAAATTGATTGTTCTTTGATGCAGTTTGTCTAAGAGCAGATTATATATGGCATAGATATGATCGAAGGAGTTGGTTTTCAGGGACTGCATAATCATATTGTGATTGAGGTTAGGCAGCTGCAACATATGGTCTATCACAGTTTTATTCAGCTGTAAATCTCTTTCAGGACCTGTCTCGACTAGAGGAACATCACTCAACCACCTGTGCTTTATTATCTGGGACATAGTCAGTCTTCTCTCTGGATCAACCACCAACATGTGTCTTATGAGGTGCTCACATTCTGAAACAATAATATGAATTCTTTAACAATTCAACATGGTACTGAAAATATAATATTGATGTTGTTGAAGAACAAAACTGGTGAAAGCTATGCTTGTAAGGTTGGAAATGTACGAAAATTGGCATATATCAAACAATGTAACTTTTTTGGTGTTCAGCATCGACAGCAGTTCTGGTTAGATTATGTTAATAACTACCTGAGGCATCTATGGAGCTATTTGCACCCCCTTTAGTCATATAATGTTACATTATCAATCCACTTTCAACTAAATAAATTCTTGTGAGAGAAATATTTGGTCAAAGGTACATTTCAACTTCAAGAGTTGGGAACACTACCACTAGTCTCATTCACCGCTAAAAATGTAATTGACTGATAGATTATTAAAATTGACATTCCATTTAGAGTGAATGTGAACACAAATTGTAAAAGATATGCTAGTTCACTTTTTGTTAAAACCAATTTTGTTTATTAATCGGACAAAATCTCTAAGCAAATTTAACTTTTCCATAATACACCTACTGCCTTCTAGAAATAAAATTATTTACCTTGTGACATGAAATAGGGTATTCGAAACTTGCCATCAATAACTACGTTTCGTAAAGCATTCAAAGTTGGACCATCAAATGGAAGAGATCCACATACCAGTACGTAGAGAACCACCCCCAAACTCTGAAATACAATTTTAAGGGAATTTAAAGTAATAATTTATGAATGAAATAAAACCCACAGAATGCATTTCAATTCACCACATATTAATCTATCGATTCTTTATTTATCTAGTAAAGTTACAGGACAAGTCAAATGAAGTTATTGGATAAGTAAAAAGTACACTAATATATGAAATACACATCTCAAAATATATATTAGGTTGTTTCAAAAATGTTTTTCGTTTTTATGAGTCTGTTTAAACTGTAATATCTCAGCGAATAGGTACTTTTTCAATTTAATGGAAATAAGTGTCATTTGAATCAATGCCCTTTTGCCAATGAAAGACACTTCTGTGCTCGGGATTCGTTGAAGTCGACGAACGCTGTTTTTGTCTGCTCTTGATTGGCGAAGGTTTCAGCGGGGTGCTTGAAAATATGGTAGTTGGTTGGCGAAAGATCTGGGTAGTATTGTGTCTGAGACATAACTTCGACGCCAATTCGTTTAGTTTTCGGACGGTAATTTGTGAAACATGCTGACGCAATTTTCGGTACATTTCGTCGATTTCTTTATCAAACTCTGCTGTGATGGTTTGGCCGGGTTTCAGAAAGTTACAGTGAATGAAACTAGCCGCTGACCACCATACAGTAACAATGGTCTTTTATGATGGATTTTCGCCTTTTGAAAGTGCCTGAGTGACTCATCGGCGTCTAACCACTGTCCTGAACGTCTCCTGTTGTTGTAGAGAATCCACTTTTTATCACACGTGACGATCCGATCCAGAAAGGATCGTTTTGGTTGCGCAAAAGCAAATGTGATGATTTTTGAGCTTCTTGACCTTTCTGATACATTTTAAACCAACAAAAACCGCATGGGAGCTGACACCCAGTCCTTCCGTCAACAGTTTGTGATGGGTCAGTCTCAACCAGGGTCGTCAACTTCTCGTCTTGGATTACTGTAGATCTATTACTTGAGGACTCATCTTCGTTCATTATTACTATCATTGCCAAATGCCTGGTTAACTTTTCGGTAAGCGCTTTCGTTAAATTTTAATTCGTAGAGAAAAACTGGCCAAAAATGGCCTTAACGACATCATATAGAGGCAACAAATTGAAATAAAAAAAAAATTAACAGCATCAGTGTATAGATTACAAAATTCTCTATTGATCAGAATATACCACAACACAGTAGAATAAATATTTATTGAGATATGGAGCTACAAAAGCACATGGGATTAAAACGGACAAAACTTATGGAACAACCCTAATACATACTATTTATGTAATATAGACGTGAGAAACACAAAAATACGTGAATAATGTGATATTGTTCAATTCACAGGGATCTGCAATGAAAATTGTTATAGATGTAAACAAAATCTTTAAAAAAACTTGTATTAGTTCTATCAATGAATTATTATTGTCAGTTTTTGACAACTAAGGTGTTTTGATCGAATCTCACATTCGTTGTGGAGTCGCAGGAGTTTGTAACCAAGAATACTGCAACTCAATCTTTGATCTACAAAAATGTGCTATTAGTATAGTCGAAGTAAACGATATTGTGCACATTTAAAGCTGGCGGCACTCTCAAAGGCCAAAAAAAACAATATATGGAAATGAACTGGCTGCGAAATAATCCACGTGGACTGTAGAGTTGGCGGTTCGTATTGCATAATTTTTATGATTGGCTGAAGAGTCATAAAATCAAATTTTAAGTCATGTTACGGTGACGAATAAAAATCGGGGAATGCGGGGATGATTATCGCCGTCATGTCATCAATGTTCAGTTCAGGAAATGATTGCGATTTGAGTGTTGAAATTCGATATTGGTGCAGTTGAAATTACTTAAAATTTTTGTTATCTATTAATGTGGCGTCCTTGGACAAGTACTAATAGTTATAATGAGTGTGATAACAACACAAACTTTTTCCAATGTAGTGATTTCAATAATGATGATGAACAATGTGAAAAATAGATACCAGTGAATAAGATTCGGAAAATTGAAACACAGAGAGTATGTTTCAATGTATATAAGAATCTACATCTCAAGTTTGGTATCGAGGGAAACAAACTATTATAGTCGAAGTAACCGATATAGTAATTCTTAAAGCTATCGGGGAACTCAAAGGCAAAAAAAAATCAATAAAAAGAAATAATGCCGCTACGAATTAGTCCACGTGGACCGAAGAATTGGCGGTTCGTATTGGATAATTTTTACTAACCGAGTTTTATGATTGGCTGAAGAGTCATAAAATTCAATTTGAAGTCATTTTATGGTGACCAATAGAATGTGAAGATGGTTAGAAGAGTCGTGTTGTCAATGTTCAGTTCAGGAACTGATCGCGATTTGAGTGTTGAAATTTAATATTGGTGCAGTTATAATTACTTAACATTTTTGTTATCTGTTTAAAATGTGTCGTCCTTGGACAAGTACTCATAGTAATAACGAGTGTGATAACATCACAGACTTTTTTCTGTGTAGTGATTCCAATAGCGCTGGTGAACAATGCGAAAAAGAGATACCAGTGAATAAGATTCGGACGCATTTGTATATTGAAACACAGAGAGTATGTTTCAATATATATAAGAGTCTACATATCAAGTTTGGTTTCGAGGGAAAAAAACTATTACAAGCAACATCAGATTTGACCGAAATTCCTTACTCAACTGTACGTAAAATTGTCAAAAACAAACCTTATGAACGCAAGACGCGATGTGGTACAGTATTACCAAAACCTTTAGATGTTCATCTTATAAAATCATTGATAAAAACGATATACGACTGTTACAAAAGCAATGAGATTCTTACATGACATGAACTGCTGTGACAAAACTCTTCATAAATTGGATAAAATAGTTATGGAGAGCAGAAGAATTGTGGAATTGCATAACAAATACTAAGAACAAATAACTAAATATAGACAAGAACAACGGACGAAACTTAGTATGACACTCACGACACAGTTACGAAACGGTGGTGTGATGGTTCGATAATGTGTACGCCTAACATGCCTGCAAACAAAGTATCACGACTAATCATTGTGCATTGCGGAGGAATGTGGAAACAAACTTGAGGACTGCAATGTTCATTGTCATAAGAACATATTTTCGAAGAATGGTTTGAAAACACATTGATTCCAAATTTGGATGCGAATAGTGTAATAGTTCTTGACAAAGCTTCCTATCATTCGCGACAGCTCATCAAATTACCAAATAAAAATTCGAGGAAAGATGAAATACAAAGTTTTTCAATGGATAACAATTTGTATTTTGAAGATTGCTATATCAAAAACCAACTACTTGAAGTTTTACAGTCAAAATCATTTGAAAAAGTGTATGCCCTTGAGAGTATTGCTGAAAGGATGGACATACCATACTGAGACAGCCCCCCTATTTTTCTGTTTTCAATTCCATCGAGTTGATTTGGGGAAAATTGAAACGAAGTATCAGGCGTGAATTTTTTTTTCAAAATTTGATAAGAAGGTAATAGAGCTAATTAAAGAAGAAGTACCTAATATTACCGAAGAAGACTGGCAGAAAAGGATTAAAAAAGTAATTTTAGTTGAAAAAGACTATATAGTGATTGGACACTTCCATATTAATGGTGGAAATAAATTCATTGTTGATTTAAATGACGACAGTGAAAGTGAAGCAGAGAATATGGAAGAAGAATTATCAGAAGCTTTCGAAAAAGTTAGTGAAGTGTTTTTGAAGCGATTGATTGTATAAATATGTGAGTAATAAGTATTTGGAAGTATTTTCAATTACCACCCTGTTATAAGAATCCCTACTTTCCCACTCACCTATATAAACGAAATATGTATTATATATCATTATATATTACATTATATTATATTATATAATCAGAAATGATCATTGAATAGCGAAATTAGTTAGCTCCCTAACTATATTATTGAAGGGGAACTGTTGGAAGGTAGGTTGCACTTTATCGTTTACTTGAACTATATCTTTGTGAAGTAGTACTCAGGGTACCTTGTAAACCACTATTCAAGATAAAACTAACACAACCGTCAAAGACGCCTGCCCTCACGTTCTGCCCGCGTTCGGGTCGCTTTCTCGGCGATGGCGCTTTATTGCTTAGACCACCCCTCTACCCCCGCGCATCGTTTTACAGTAGACGCGACGCGCAATGGCTTACTGCGTTGCGTCAAGCTAATTTTATCGTGATAGCTTTTAAACCATTCGTCCAAATTACCTAGTGTACGTTTGTCAATATTAAATACTTAAAACGACAATTGTATCATTTTTTAAAAGAATTTGACAGATATTCTAAAATGTGCATTGTAAAAAAGTATACAATTTAATTGTATTTATGGCTCAGTATTTTGCATATAATGGCTACCACATGAGAGGTAGATATAGCCTATAGCGGACTTTTATTTAGAACTATTTAATATGAACAATCTTACGGTACATTATCTGCATGTAACTCCAATGGTATAATAGGCAGCACACGCTAAGATAGCTCTCAGGGAGCAATCATTTTTCCGACTTACTTGATACTTATCATTATATTATAAATTGTAGCCTATATGTTACTTTGATGTATAAAGACAATAAAGTATATGGTAGTTATGTTTATTGATGTATTTCGTTCTCCTAATTCCATCTCGAAATTAGTATTTTTTTATAATGAATTAGGATGCGAGGAGAATGACATAGAACATTAAACAGTTTACAATGATTCAACTTAAATGCCTTATTTCATTCTAAATTGGCTTCTGTTGAACTGTTATCCGGAGAGATTTTCCAAAAAAATTCGTGATGAATGACAGTTCAAAATCTCACAGCTGCACCACCTGATGTTTTTCATTCAAGGGAAAATATTTAAAAAAAATAACGTTATTTTACAGCACTCTGATCTGAAAATAGTATATTTCATTCACTTCAAAGTTGGCATAGACCAAAATTCTATTATCAGTCTTTGCTTGACAGAGTTTTACAAATTTTTATGTAGGAAAAGATCTTAGCTGAATTCTCAACTTACCCAGATGTCTGCTTTAGGTCCGTTATATTGGAGACCTTGGAATAATTCTGGTGCTGCATAAGGTGGGGATCCACAAAAAGTTGAGAGCCAACAGCCCTCTGTAAACTGATTACTGAATCCAAAATCAGCCAACTGAAAGATTGATTCAATTATAATCAACTAATTTTTTCATTGAAAAAACAACTTTCAGAATAGAAATTTGAAAGTATCATTATTATTTAATTCATACAATAAATTATCAAGAATAGTCCATTGAAAATTAATCAATCGAGTGACATCACTTTCGTTTATTTAAAGGAAATTTTAAATCGGGATTTACGATTATTCCATCACATAGTCGACACTTTATAAAATCAATTTTACTTACATTTCATCTTTTAATAACAGGAGATATCACTCAAACCACTTTTAACATAATTATCAATTGAACAATGCCTTCCACTTACTTTGATATTCAAGTTATGATCTAGTAACAGATTTTCAGCCTTCAAATCTCTATGAACTACCCCCTGAGAGTGACAATAATTCACTGCTGACACAATTTGACTAAATATCCTTTTCGCTTCTGATTCAGACATGCGACCTTTTGCTACCAGATGATCTGAAACAGAATTAAAATATTTTCATGAAAATATATTTATTGAGAAGTCGAAAAACAAGTTTATTTTACTAGAAATGATGCGTTCCTATATAAGACAGTAATATCAATTTCAAAAGAAAAGGTTTTAATAACTTTTTTCAAAGGAATTGATGTATTTTTTTTTATTCATAAGCTTCCTGTTGAGATTTACTATTCACTGATTTTATATACCTGTGTCATGTTGTTTGAGTTGTTTTGGAGTTATTTGAAAAATATGCTGTCATAATAAAAGTTTATAAACTGTGGTGATTTTTCATCAAAAACTCTGCTATTCAACTTAGAGGTATTGGGCACAGAAATCACATATTCATAGGTATAATTTATTCGGCATGCATATTAGTATTTTAGGAGTCACCACAACTTTAAGCTGAAGAGCATAACTGAAGAGCATGTATCGAATAAATAGACAGAAGAATTACAGACCAGAAGTTAATAACCATTAGATAAAGCAAAAAAAACCTTAAATGAAATAACAGTGAAATAAAATACAAGTAAAAATAGACAAAAATGTAAAATATAAATAAAAAGTTAGAGATTCCAAGCCAAGTTACTTCACGACGTTTCGATTGTTAGTATCCACAATCGTCTTCGGGTGATTACTGGACTAATTCCTCCGAGAGATGACTATTTATGGGTCATTCGAGTACGTCTAATTTACATTAACATCAACAGCATAAAACCTTCCATCACTTTCACAATGGAGAAGGAAGTCCACAACGAATTGCCATTCTTAGACGTATTGGTGAATAGGACTAAGTGGGAAACATCTGTATGCCGAAAACCCACTCACACAGGACAGTATCTGAACCAAGAATCCAACCACCGTCAATCGACTAAAAGAGGAATCATCAAGACTTTATTAGACCGTGCTTTCGGGCTCTGTAATACGAATGAAAGTCTCGAGAAGGTACTATATAGACATTACCAAAAAATGATCTTCAACGGAATGTTACTCCAAAGCGAGGGTAGAACAGACTTTGGCTAACCAGGCCACCAAACGCGAACTGCGATTCCAAGAATTGCATTTACCGGATACCCTGTGAGTGCGGAACATCCTATATCGGTGAAACTAAGAGACCATTGAATGTTCGCATTGCCGAACACAAGAAACACACACAGCGAGGGGAAACTTAGCAAATCAGGAATAGCAGAGCATTCTTGGGCCCATTAACATAACATCAAGTGGTCCCAAGCTAAGATCATACACAGGGAGAAACAGTGGTTTAAGAGAACATTCTGTTTCGCTTGCGTTCACGCAGCTATTTTTATGAAGTACTTTCTTGGTTTTTCTCATTTTATCTTCAATCGAGGACCGCCTGCCGGTACTGACGATGCCCAATAGGCTGAAACAGCTGTCTACCGGTGGCTCTTAANAAGAGCTAAGACCAAAAAAGCATGCCAAGTACGATCAAATGTCAACTTGCTCGTACTGTCAATAAGGAGTACGCCGGCACAATTGTATTACATCTGAGGAGGACTACTTTAACGGGGACATAATGGAAATTGATGAATAAATGAATATTTTTTGAGTACAGTAAAGCATTCGAAAAATAAAATATGGGCTCGAAAATTATTTGGCAGAAGAGGGTCAAAAAAGAAAAAAATACATAAATTCATATTGCATTTGATATTTTCATAATAATAATAAACATACAAAAGTATGCAAGGTTTAACAAAAGTGACTCTTGTCTCAATAACTCGTTAGATTTTTATTCCAAACAACAATAATAAGCAAAAAGATAACAAAATTAATCATAGTAGATAAAACAAAAACAATGAAATCATTCGAAACAATTGTAGATAGGTATAATGAAAATGGAATAATTACAATACTAACAAATAGTTTTTAATGAGTTTTGTTCAAACTGTTGTCGGTAATATTCTATACAGAATTTTGTTTTTCTGTTACCATCTCAGGGTGAACCGATTTAATGAACCTTTTTCCTGAAGTACGAAAAAATCATCTATATGAAGCTCAAGTTATCAATGTGGTATATCACACAAATGAAAACCAATCGAATGTTCAGAACATACGATTGAAATTAGTGCCTAGTGGGTGGAAGTGTTGAAATTAACTATTCATTGATTTTATACAGTGCCTTCATTTCAAAAATGCCCACCCCTAGTACTTCGTTTAGCAGGGAGACTTTGCTCTATTTTACGAGAACGGTTCAACCAATTTCAGTTTTCTAAAGGGGGTTGAGTGAGGATTTTTAAGATCTTTAAAATGATGTGTTACAAGATAGGGAGTTAAACCTAAAATACCACTGGCACTGGTTTTAAACTTCCCCCTCGATATCTAAATTGACGTGTTTTTTGCATAAAACAACAGCAAATATTAATTGGCGCTCCGGGGCGACTTCATTGATTCCAGTGGCGCATTTGCTTTTTCAGCTGCAGGAAAATCCGGAAAAACCTGCAGTACCACATCATCTGAAGATCTTGATCTACCAATATCCTCTCTTTCAAGTATCCCTCAACTTCTACCAATTATAGTTCAATTACGCTTTCTCGTCAATTGAGACTGAAGATGTACAGAATGAACCTTTTTCCTGAAGTACGAAAAATCACTCACTAGCAGCGCAAGTAGTTCGGTAGGGACAAACACTGCCTAATCCTCATGTAAACGTATGATAAAGTACAATTAGAAAATAATGTTTTCAACAGAAGATGTTCCTTGAGCAAAACTGAAATTTGCAGCTGTGAAGGATAACAATGTTGTAACATTAAAACGTTGTCTTGCATGCCGTAATTTGAAAATAACTGGAAACAAAAAAGTGAATTAATTGACAGGTTGGTATATATACTCTATTGAAAGAGTAGCGGTAGATTCAAACTGTAACAAAAGAACTTTAAAATAATTATGAATTTCAGATTTATTTCCAAGTGAAATATGAATCAAATATAGATGATAATGAAATATAGTTTAATAAATGATTGAGGTTATATCTCATTCTAATCAATGGTAATTAACTATGAAAATTTTACTATTCATTTCATGTTTAGAGTATACATATGAATATGTATTTATTCATTGCACTGTTGAATCCACTCTCCTCGAAATAGTATAAAAAACACGTTTTCTTCCGGATATCGATTATCCGACGTACAATTCGCAAAACAGCAATGCTCTGTTGGCATTATACTAACACAAAATAATTTTTTATATCAGATTTATATTTTCAAATAATAAATTAATATTACGTAAATAACACTTAACACTGTTTTACATGTGAATAGTTTACTTGTCCCTACTACTATGCTGCTTCTCGTGACACGTTCGCTGTACTATTCTTAGGAAAAAGGCTCATTGAATGCCATAACAGAGAGTCACATACATTTTTGGTGGATCCTCATGAATAAAAATTACTTTAACGGGGTTATGACTGGTGACTGGGGTGAAATTCATAAGGAATTAAAAAATGGTAATAGCTATCTATATACAGATTTTAAGCTAAATTATCAATGTCGTTTCTTATAAATACTGAATATTTTTGAGGAGTTGATGGAAAGGAAATGTTAAACTGGAACCTTTAGCATAGAATAAATCCAAAACAAAGACTTTTGCCAAACACCAGACCTGCAATACTCTTCTCGACGTACGTTTCACCAACTAAGTTGACGTCTTCAGAAGATGAAACTCCCGTCGTGAAGAGTATTTCTGATCTGGCGTTTGGAAAAATTTTTATTTTGAATAAATTAAGAATATGGGACAATATGTCCATAACTTAAGAGTATCCATTGAACCTATTCATGGGAGGTCCTTGAGCATTCCTTTATTTCTTAATTCAATTTCAAAAAGTGAAAGAATTATTCAAATGTCTACATAAACTTAATGATTAGTATAAATGATTTTGATGGGATAAACATAAACAATACATTTTTGAAATAAATAATAGCTATAATTTATATCATTCCATTCCTATAATAAAAATAAAAAAATTACGAATATTTATTGGAATTAATCTTACCAAATATTTCGCCTTTACTAGCATACTCAGTAACCATGTAAATTGTCTGGTTTGTTTCCATAAGTTGATATAGCCTTGTTATATGGGGATGTCTAAGTTTTTTCAATATGGCAGTCTCTCGAAATATTTTCGTTAAATTTTCTTCATCTAACACAGTCTTATCTATTATTTTTATAGCCACCTGAAACAGAAGAATCCTTTATGAAAAGGTAGCTTTTCAGGTGAAACGATTTTCTTTCATCACTACCCCTTGAATATTCTACTAATTTTAAAATTTCACCGGAAGTTACATTGTAAATAATTGAAATACATGTGTGAAATACCAGAGTGTTTATTGAACACGCGGCAAAACATCAAGGGACTATTTCTTGGTCTATTCTAAGGATATTTTGTCCTTTAACGAGTTTTGATAGGTCGCTTTGTTTCGAAGATACGGGGCAAAAAAGAATTTCTACAATAACAATTTTGGTAATTTTGAAATTATTAAGGTAGCCGATATAAAAGTATAGCGGACTACACTGAACCACAGCATAGGTAACAATCAGCAATGTCACCAACGTCACTTCGCTTGGCAGGAGAAGTTCGCGCATATCCGTCGCGTTGATAAGTCCGCCATTTTGGGAAGTGACAGACTTTCTCATTTTGCTTTTGGATTTGCTCTTGTTAGGACGTATATGTTACATGTGTTCTGTGCGTATCGTGAATTTTAACTTTTAACATATAGTAGAGTAAGATTATTTTATACATTAAAATATATAAATAGGAATTTCAAATCTCAT